TACCACAGCTTCTCTAGCCATTCGTTTGTTGATGGGCACTTAGGTTGTTTCCAACTCCTTGCTATTGTGAACAAAGCTGCAATAAACATGGGTGTGCAGGTCCTACAAGATTTTAAAACCATGCCCTCGAGCAGGCCTCACAACAAAAAGGACCCCAGAAACTTCCCTTGCATGACTGCCATCAAGATGAGACAGCCATTGAGATGGCAGCCAGCCAGCCAACTGACTCCCAGAATGGAGGTAGACTCCAAGGCCACAGGCCCCAGGCCAGACCACAGACCCATGGCCTCATCATCAATTTTAAAGTCATGCCCTCAAGCAGGCCTCCACCCTTAACCCTTGGTCTAAGGCTCAAGGGCCACCCACTTTTGAGGGGAAAAAAGAACAGTAACATACAACAAAAAGGACCCCAGAAACTTCTCTTGCATGACTGCCAGCAAGATGTGACCCTCATTGAGATGGCAGCCAGCCAGCCAGCCGAATCCCAGAGTGGAGGTAGACTCCAAGTCTACCACATAAGCAAAAGGGAAATTTTTTGTTTCTCAAATAAGCAAAGGCTTTAAAAAGAGGGTAAGAAAAAAAAACCCACAAAAATGGCTAGTGTTTGTAAAAGCAGGAGACAACAGGCAATCTCATCCCCTTCTGATAAAAGCAGAAGTTGGTACAACCTCCTTAGAGAGCACTTTGAAAATATACATCAAAAGGAATACAATTTTGGATAAATATTAAGTTATCACACTTCTAAGAATTGATTATAAGTTCATAGTCTCAATTGTAATGTTTTCACAATAAATATATTCATTACAGTATTATAATAGAAAAAAAAACTTGGAAAAAACTCTGTGATCAACATTAAGATTCAATGATGGCAGATCAAGCTGATGGATTTAAATTATACTATAGAAACAAAGACCACATTAAATATTCACGATTTGTTGTTAGCTGCCACTGAGTGGCAACCCCATTTGTGCAGATAGAAATTGTTTTCAAGGTTATAACCTTTCACAAGAAGACCACCAATCCTTTCTTTCGCTGTACCTGAGTGACTGAACTAAGAATTTTTCAGCTAGAAGTTCAGTGCTCAACCACTTGTGCCACCTAGGGACTCTAATATTAGAGTTCTTAATATTCCCAACTATTCAGAGTATTAGTTCCTTTATTAAGAGAGAATAAGAATATGTACTTTAATATGCACTTAAAAAATAAAAGAATATGAAGCATAATAGCAATTATCCAAGGTGAGAAAAGAAATCATAGTAATTTCTTACTCTTCCTTATATTTTACAATAATATGCATTAAAGTCTATTTAGAAAAATCAACAACCTGCTTTTAAAATTCTTACAAAGTATACAAGTAACATCCAGAGAACCAGAACAGATGGGTTTGGGGCCTGGGTTCCCCAATTCAAGAGAATGTGGGTGAGGTAGTAAGAGTCTTGTCATTTTAATCGTAACCCTCCTAGGTGCTTGGGATTCACAGATTGCTTACCTAAGAGGCAGAATGTCATTTACTTCAAAGACCTAATCAAGTTCTCACCCCTGGGACTTCTCAACGGCCTGTTCAAATCCAAGGAGCTAACCAGTAACCAGTAACCTCTTTATTCATGGCCTATGCCGCCTTCTGGCAGTATCTCAAAAGAAATTTTAAAATCATATTACTTGACCCTTAGAGCAGATTTCTCAAAAAATAGTAAGTCAGTTCAGACTCCTACCTAGATAGGGAATACTGGGGACCATCTTCAGGCTTCGGATATATTCTCGAGTCCTCTTATAATTATCTTCTTTAGACATCAGATAGTCCAATTTCTCAAAGGTGGTCTTGTCTTTTCGATTCAAAAGCTGGAGAGGAAAGATGATGTTGAGTATGAGAACGAAAATAAATCAGAAGAAGATAAAGAAAAAGGACAAATGTGGATGAAGATTAAAAGGAAGCATCCGAATTGGCCTATCTGTAACATGCCAAATGCTAGGCACAATTAAAGGCTTTAAAAGGGCATTTCACTGCTGCACAGGATGAATCTACTACAATTTATGCTGTGTGCCATAAACCAGTTCCAGAGGGACTATTATGGTGTAACACCATTATTATAAAAAGTTAAGGAAAGTTTTACACACAGATAGAAACAATTTTAAGACGGATAACAGCAAAGGGAAAGGAGGGAGAAGGGAGGGGGGAAAGCAGTTTTTTCAAAAGGGCATTTCATGCAGAAATGTAAAGTTTCATGACCTCAGTTTTGTCGTTTTCATAAAATTTCATTCTAGAAAATATTTTCTAATGCCAACTACTCCACTCTTACAAATGGTGCCCGAATCCCCTGCATAGTATCTATCTTTGAGATTGCACACATTCTGCAATAACAAAAAGCTTAAAGCTGAAGATCATCCAAGAGTTATTTCACAACTCCCCAGTCCACAGCTGCTGGCTCTCTCCTCAACAACTTTTCCATTGCTAAAGGCCCTCCGGAAATCCCATGATTCACATGTGTAGCTCATGCTCCAATCTAGGCTTCTCTCCCAGATTCCCTGTAGTCTATGGCTATATCATATTTACACCAGGGTATGGTATTTCAATAATAATAAAAAAGCCAATCTTCTTTGCTATATGCAGTCATCTAAGGGATGATTCAGTCAAGCAGATACAGGATGGATAGATACCTATAGATAGCAGATAAGTGAAGCAAGAACTTCTTGTGACTAAGGTCTCTGGTGTGTAAAGCTGGTTACTAGGGAAGGAACTCCGGTGGTTGGTGGTGTACAAGTTACATGTTGTACTGTCAACCATGAGATCATTTGTTCAAACACACTAGCTGCTCTGTGGTAGAAAGATGGACAGTTTGCTGTTTTCCCTTATTGATTTATAGTCAGTCAGAATCAACTTGATATCAGTGGAAGGAAAACAGAATTAGACACTAGAATTGCTTTTCAAACCCTCATATTAAGGGAGTAATTAGTGCAACCTATGACAAGGCCCAGTGGTAAAATATGTCAAAAAGTCTTCTTCTTCCTCTCTTTTTTTTTTAATTCCACGTCTGCTTTGAGCACAGACCTTGGAAGTAAACGTTTGTATTTTTTGTTTTATTAATTTTAATGAAAGTTTACAGAGATTAGGGTTTCCATTCATTCATTGTTGTACTTTTCTCCCTGCCCACCCTCCTTCCCCCAATTCACTCTTCTCTTTGAAAAGTAAAAGAAAAATTCTTTCATTGTTATACAGTCCCTCCCTCCAAATGCACTCTACTGTGCAGCCTTCATTCTGGACTTGTCATGACAAAAAGACCCAATTACATATCCCTTTTAAACAGTTCTCTTCCTCATCTGTTTCAGTGCAGTATGCAGTATATATTATTATTACATATTATTTCTCAGTCTTCTCTCAACCCCAACGTCAGTCCCTTTTTACAATAGTGGCCCTATGCAATATATGTCCTTTTGTGACTGAGGTATTTCACTTAGCATAATATCCTCCAGGATCACCCATTTTGTATAATATCTCATGAATTCCTTATTTTTCAATACAGCATAATATTCCATTTTGTGAATATACCAGAGCTTCTCTACCCATTCATTTGTTGATGGGCCCTTAGGTTGTTTCCAACTCTTTGCTATTGTGAACAAAGCCATAATAAACATGGGTGTGTGTATATCTGCTTGGGTGGTGGTTATGGTTTCTTTAGGGTATATTCCCAGTAGAGGAATTGCTGGGTCAAATGGTATTTCTATTTGCAACTTTTTAAGAAAGTGCCATACAGCCTTCCATAGTGGTTGTACCATTTTACACTCCCACTAACAGTGATTAAGGGTTCCAGTTTCTCCACAACCTTGCCAGCATTTGATGTTTGCTGTTCTCTTAAATTTTGCTATTCTTTTTTTAAAATTTATTTTATTATTTTTTGCATGTGTACCATCGAATTTTATCTGATAGGTACAGGAGGATATTGTCCCTCCTTCTCCAGCAGAACATCTGGTTGATTTGAACCACGTACTTCTGGGATTGCAGGGCAGCTTCTTGCCAGTGAGCCACCAGTGCTCCAAATTTTGCTATTCTTACTGGGGTGAGATGATATCTTAATAGTTGTTTTTATTTGCATTTCTCTCTTAGAGCTAGGGATTTTGAACATTTCTTTATGTGCTTATTGGCCATCTGAATTTCTTTGGTGAAGTGTCTGTTCATATCCTGTGCCCATTTTTCAATTGGGTTATCTTGTCGTGGCGCTCGAGTATTTTATAAATTCTAGATATAAGTCCCTTGTCTGACATGTCATTACCAAATATTTTTCTCCCAATCTGTGGCTTCCCTTTTTACCCTGTTGGAGAAGTTTTTGGACGTGCATAGGGATTTGATTCTCAGAAGGTCCACCAACAAGTCTTCTTGAATAAAATGGCACTGAGGAAATGGCTAAGAGACCAGACTTAAAATAAAGGTCACGGAGAAAGGGCTTGCTTTGACACAACATGTGGCTGATACTGGAAGTTCCTCCACATCTAGCTGCAAAGACTCAGTACTTCCATGGGTTGAAATCAATGGCTAAATCCAGACGTGAATGGAGGGGGAGCCCAGTCCAGGAGTGTTTTTGACCAAGTTTGGTGTTGAGATTTCACTTGTCTGATCAAGGAACCAAATCAAGAGAACTACCACCATATCCTTCAGGGCAAAGGAGGTCAGTATTCTTAACTGCAACAATGTGGTGAGCAACAGGATAATATCCATACACTAACAAGGAAATCCAGTGAATACCACTATCATTCAAATATATGCACCAACAACTAGAGCCAAAGAAGAGGAAATAGAAGATTTTTACCGTTTCTAGTCAGAAATTGATCAAACATGCAATCAAGATGCATTAATAATAATGGGCGACTGGAATGCAAAAGTTGGGAACAGGGAAGAAGGATCAGTAGCTGGAAAATACGGGCTCGGTGAGAGAAATGAGGCTGGAGATAGAATGATAGAGTTCTTCTGCACATTCAATGATTTATTCATTGCAAATGCCTTCTATAAGAAACATAAACACAGGCTATACACATGGATTTCACCTGATGGTATGCATAGGAATCAAATAGATTACATTTGTGGAAAGATTTGCTGGAGAAGCTCAATATCAGCAGTGAAAACCAGGCCGGGTGCTGATTGTGGGACAGACCACCAACTACTCATATGCAAATTCAAGCTGAAGTTGAGGAAAATTAAGTCAAGTACACGGGAACCAAGATTTGACCTTAAGTCTGTCCCACTAGAATTTCAAAACCATCTCAGAAACAGGTTTGAGGCCTTGAGCATAAATGAGCGTAGACCAAACGAGCTCTGGGAGGATATCAAGAAAATCATTCATGAAGAATGCAAAAGATCATTACAAAGGCTAAAGAAGAAGAAAAGACCAAGATGGATGTCAGATGAGATTCTGAGTATTGCATTAGAGCACCAAGAAGCCAAAGCTAAAGGAAGAAATCAAAGAGCTGAATAGAAAATTTCAAAAGGCAGTGCTGGATGACAAAGCAAGATACTATAATGAAATGTGCAGAGAGCTGGAGTCAGAAAATCAAAAGGGCCGGACTCGCTCAGCATTTCTTAAGCTAAAGGAGTTGAAAAACAAATTCAAGCCATGGGTGGCAATACTTAAAGATAGTTTGGGGAGAATGTTTAATGATCCAGGATGTATAAACAGAAGATGGAAGGAGTACACAGAGTCACTGTATCAGAAGGAATTGGCTGACACAGAGGAATTTCATGAAATAACATATGAGCAAGAACCTATGGTGATGAAGGAGGAAGTTCAAGTTGCTCTGAAGGAATTGGCAAAAAACAAGACTCCAGGAGTTGACTGCACATACCAATTGATTTATTTCAACAGACTTCCCTGGATGTGCTCACTAAATTGTACCAGGAAATCTGGAGGATAGCCAGCTGGCCAACTGACTGGACGAGATCGATATTTGTTCCCATTCCAAAGAAAAGTGACCCAACAGAGTGTCGAAATTATCGAACAATATCATTGATATCACATGCAAGCAAGATTCTGCTGAAAATTATCCAAAAACGTTTGGAACAATACGTTAACAGAGAACTGCCAGATGTGCAGGCTGGATTTAGAAGAGGTCATGGTACTAGCGATATTATAGCTAATGTAAGATGGATCTTGGCAGAAAGCAGAGAATACCAGAAGAATGCCTATCTGTGCTTCATTGACTTTGCAAAAGCTTTTGACTGTGTGGATCACAACACACTATGGCTGACTCTGAGAAGAACGGGAATCCCAGAACAACTGATTGTGCTAATGCAAAACCTATACTTTGACCAAGAGGCAGTCGTCAGAACAGAGCAGAGAGACACCAGATGGTTCAAAATCAAGAAAGGGTTGTGTCTGGGATGTGTTTTGTCTCCACACCTTTTCAATCTGTATGCAGAATAGATCATCCGAGATGCTGGGCTGTATGAGGAGGAATGTGGCATCAGGATTGGTGGAAGAATCGCCAACAACCTGAGTTATGCAGATGGCACAACCCTGCTCGCTGAAACTGGGGAGGACCTGAAGCACTTGCTGCAGAAGGTCAAGGACTGCAGCCTTCAATATGGATTGAAGCTCAATATCATGAAAACAAAGATTCTCACCACCGGGCCAATTGGCAGCATCAGTTTCGATGGTGAAGAGATTGAGATAGTTAACAGTTTTAGTTTACTTGGCTCCACAGTCAACCATCTTGGTAACAGCAGCCAGGAAATCAGGAGACGAATTGCATTGGGAAAGTCAGCTGTGAGGGTACTGAAGCGTACTGGAGTGCAATGTCAGGCTGGAGACTAAGGTGTGCCTGATCCAAGCTATAGTCTTTGCAATTATGTGCTA